TCTAATAGGAATCAATTTGGTTTAATAGATTCAGATTCTGTGAGTAGATTTTTCTTAGCACAACACCCCATAGCAAAACAGAAGTTTGAAATATTATGAAATAATATGAGGTAAATGAAATTTTGTCACACGGTTATGAATGTGAGAATGTTTTCATAACCTTGATAGCCCAAGGATATAGTGTTAGAAGAGTTAATACTTCCTCTGGTCCTCAGTAAGTTTAAATTTATCTTACTTTAGGTGTTTTTCCATAATTGCATTCCATATTCCAGTGGACTCCCTGACCAGATGGAAGGTATAGATGATTTGCTATGCTTTGTACAGATCTTATTAGTCACCTTGCCTTTCAAATTATGTCTTCATTCATGCAGTATTACTCTTCCTTAAGAAACAGCTCACAATATAGATATTTTTCTTGTTTCCAGCCATTTAACATGATAGGAGTATATCACTATAATTTCTATCTCCTAAACGGCACTATTTTATGATATTTTTAAAAGTCTGTAATGCAAATTTTTATAATATAAATATTTTTACTTTTACTATAAAATTAGACTATGCCCTTTATGTAATAAGAGTAGGTCATGCAACACAGATAAATCTATGCATTTGATTTTGTTTGCTTGTGATATAAGAAAGAGTTGTTTACAATGTTAGAGAAGTATCTATACATGCAATTTAGTGCAGAGAATCATGACAAAGATTCTAACCAAGAGAGTATTTTCTTTGATATATTAAGGAAAAATATAAAGATAGGAGACAATTTTTTTCTGAATGATATGACAATTTATTCTATTTTCTTATTTGAAGGTTGGAAAAACAATGCAAACTAGATACTTGAATAATGCATTCTATTTTCATGAAGCAATATTTTTTTAGAGTCATAATTTCCAATGTATTGCAAAAACATTTGAAACAAATTCATATAAATACTGTTGGAAAACTGCAGTTTGAGGAGTATCTATGTGTAAATATATGGGATTAAAACATTCATCAATATTCTCATGTTGCTAAACGTGGCTATTTTAAGCACATGGTTGAATTTCTCAGGCAATCAACAATCAAATTATTGGTATTTTAATGACAAATGTAATGGTAATTTTTAAGAACTATTGTTTTGATAATGGAATTTCTTTTTTTCCCCCCAAAGCGTAGTTAGAAATAAAGTCAATGGAACTTTACAAAGAGTATGCAAAAAGACAGTAACAATGTTTTAATACACACAATTGCAAAAAGAACATATCTAATCAAAAGTCATGACATTGCTGGCAACTGGAATGCTCTAACAAAGTTATTGTCGAGAATTCTAGGTAGAAATGGGTAAATTATCCTGTTTTTTCATATTAGTCAATTCTGAATATCATACATGTTTCTTGACTGTGTTCTATTCTGCAGCTACACATTTACCCTTTAACTTGCAGATCGTTATTTAGTCACAAGGAAACCTACCAAGGTGATGGGGAGCTAGGACATATTTGCAAAGCGACTGCCTAGCTGACACAGATCAACCCATTAGAATTTTACGTAATGTTGTTAATATACCCTATGCTGTCCTTCTTATTGAGTCTCAGGATATTTTGATTTCTGATATCTCTTCTGGTTGACCAAATATTTTGAAACATTATTGTTTGTAGAGACTAGGATCTTTCCTTGAGGTTTAATACACAATTTATGATGTAGTTAATGATTATTCTAAGTGTAAGAACGTACTAACAGTGAAGATTTTATGAAACATCCAAGAATTTTTTAAATTGTAAAATAAATTACATTATGATTATTCTTGATTGGAAGGGGTATTGGTTGGTAGTATCCTAGGAAGAAAATCTAACTTGTAGACAACTATTGTACAAATTCTTATATATAAACATGAGTATGTTTCTAAGTAACATATAATTATTGAAACATATTGATATATTTTTAAATTTGAGTGTCAAAGGAGCTGTCACAATAGTTTAGATTTCATTAAAATTGAAGAATATAAAAAACTATTTTTCATTTTATAGGGAAGAGCAATAATTGTGTGAATCTTGGATTACTGCAGGAAATCTAAAGATAGTTCAAATTTAAAAGATAGCTTAACCATTTTATTATTCTGAATTTGTGTCTTAATTTGGGATGGAATTGTAATGCTAAGAAGTGTTGTCAGAGGAGATGAAATATAGACACAGTCATAGTATCCATAAGCAATAATAAATAATCATTTGAAAATACACAATAACAAGGAAAAGTGATCATGAAAAATTTAATTTCTTTTAAAATAAAAAATGAAATTTAAAAATTGTCAAATGATTAGGGGTATGCCAAAATTAAGAAATTTTATAAAATGTTATATTAATTAAAGGAAAAATATTTAATTACAGAATACCTTGGTTATTTTATAGAATTAATTATAAAGTTTAGTTTTATTTTGTATATCTTCCTTGTCATACTTTGAAATAATTTATAATATTTTTCATTATGCATACATTTATGAACATTGAGCAATTAATTTCCCTTTAAAATTATTTGAAAGTATTATAAATGTAGGCATTTAGGGTTGACTGTCCTCTGATACTGTATTTTGATGAAATTCCTTAAATTTTCTCTTATAATTACCCATTTTAATGAAAAATTTGAGAGAATCCTTATTTATCTCTGCATTATGTATTTAGAAAGATATAGATATTTAGCCATTTGAGTAGGTAATAAAATTAATATTTTTAATGTTAGCTTTATCATGTTGCACATTCTGTTAATTTATGTCCATTTTATATATATAAAATAAGGAACCAGGACAAGTTGGAAATATTTCAGTGACCAATGTGACTTTTCTTAGAAATCAAAACAGTATTCATAAACTAAACTTTTTAAATTAATTTAATATTGGTCTATTGTCTTAAAGTTTTCTGAAAAAATAAAAACTATAAGCCAACACCATTGGTCTTTTTGATATGTAGGACTACAAGAATTCACAAGACTGAACCTTTATAAAAGATACAACTTACTAAACAATCTTATATTTTGATAATCATAAACTATTTATTAAATTAATTATACCTTACTGGACCCCTATAATTAATGTGCAGATTTTTTTAAGTTTAAAATATAAGAAATTAACCCAAGTCTTGTATTTAAATATTGTACTAACCTTATTTTTACATGGTGATAAAATAAAAAAGAATGCATAGAGATATTTTTAAGCTAAAACTAACCCACTCTAATTAGTTAAAAGAGTCATCTACATATTAGGACTAGTGTGTGAACTCCTTTTAATGTAAGTGACATTATGTATTCATATGTCAAACTTTTAAAATATTTACATGTATGCTATGAATCTATTTATCTAAAACCTAAGCCCTTACTCAAACTTCCAGTTATGCTTATTGATTATGAGTTATAGTTTTCCAAGAAAAAAATATAGATATGAAGCCATATCTTTTGAATTTTTTAAAGTTTTTTTTCTCTTTTTACCCCTTTTATTTTGTATTTAACTGTTTATCTGGATAAGATATTCCTAGAGTGTACTGCTAATAAAAGAACAGTTTCTTATGATCAACTAATCCCAACGTTTCTCCAAAACGGTGAAAAAGGAAGAGAAGAAGAAAAAAAAGAACTGATGGGAGCCAAGTTCAACCATATATACATTTATCACTGGAAAAGCTGATTGTTTTCCTTTTAAGGAAAGTAAAAGGCTTAGATATAGAACAATTATACTTTGATATACAGATGACCAAAAGTCATAACAAAATACTTTTTTTTTTCCTTTTACTTTATAAAGACCACTAGGATCTTCTTAGAAATAGATATTCTATTTGGCGGTTAATTTTTTTTTAACTACTGAAAGAGTAAAATAGTAGTCCTTAAAAAAAATCCATTAGAGATGTCCTATCCTATTCCATACCATTAAAAAAAAAAAAAGTGTTTTTCTTGTTTGGTGTTCAGAATGAAAGTGGGTAGGAAGGCAACTAAGATTTCAATATACAAAAAGTGCAATGTAGCCAAGAATTTAATTGAACATCTTCCCTTCTATATTCCAAAGTATTCTGGTAGCTCTAATACATTACATTCCTTATTCAGCCTCAGAGCTATTGCTCTTTCTCACATGTTACACATGTGTGTACAGATGTGTGATAAAGTTTCTTATCAATCTGGATGAAAAGGTCAGTGTATTAATATTCAATTTTCAACTTGTTAATTTTCTAAATCTATGTGACAGATTTAACTGTCACTTGAAATGAAACATTCATTCATTAAGAAAGAGAAAGTGATCCTGAAAAATACAGAAAAAAGAGAGTCTAAAGAAAAACAGAAGAGGAGGGGGAAAAAAAAGATATTTTGGATGTGTACAAAGAAATGTACACAGAAGAATTTGGGGGGATAAAAGCCTGGTGTAGCAAAAGAGAAACATACTATAGCTTCAAACAGCTGATCTTACTCTAGTCCTCCCTCAGGTGCTGGATTTTTGGTATAAAAGTTCTTAATTTCACTATTGGAAACTTTACCTTGTCTACTATACAACTTTCCATCTGCTTGCATCCTTAAAGAGATAAAGATAACTGTTTTCATTTGTATTGATTTTTTTTAATTTCAAAGATGTTTAAATCATACCTGGAATATCTTAAAATAAATATATGAATATTTATGAAAATTGTTAGAATGAATTTGTTAAAACTTACTTTTTAATTTCCTTCACCAGACAGGTTTGTGGCCAACATAGGCAACTATATTCAATTTATAAATAGTCTTCATAAGAGGAAAGGAATGGAAAGAGTGATTTCTAAAAGTTCCTTTATATTCTATGTAATAAAATGATAATAAGTAGTATAAATAGAAAATAAAATCCATTCCATTTCTCATGGAAGCCTTCCATTTTACTCATTTTTTGTCAATGTAATTAATTATTATTACATTCTGCATAATATGTATGTAATATCATAGGCATTAAGCTTTTAATTTTAACCACTGATGTCATATACATTCCTATAAAAACATTATTAACAGTGATTATGTATTATTTACAGATATTGGCTGACCTAGAAAACCATGCATTATTTAAGAATGATTTGGAATGTCAAAAGCTGATTCTGGAAGCAATGAAATATCATCTATTGCCAGAAAGAAGAACTTTAATGCAAAGTCCAAGAACTAAACCTAGAAAATCTACAGTTGGAACTCTGTATGCAGTAGGAGGAATGGATAACAACAAAGGTATACAATTCTTCATCTCTATATAATACACACCCTGTACCATACCATGGCACGATCTTAATATTGTAATCTGTATAATACCAATGAAACTCACATGCTTTATACATTAAGATTTAATATTAAGGGAAACATTTAAAGATCATCTTTTCTTTTCAGTCTGTGGTTGCTGCTTCTGCTTATTATTTTTCTTTAACTCCCTTATCTCTTGTGTATTATGGGCCAGAGTTCAGATGAAATGAAAAGGGGATTGAAGCACTTACAAAACACAGGCCAAATAATGTGTTGGATATATTCACAACTGTATTTCAATTCTAAGCAAAGAAAATGTAATATGCCAAGCATATACTGGCTGAGAGCAATATTATGAAGAAGAGAGTTTCTTTTGAGGCATTTAGAATCTCATATGGAAGCCAGGCAAATAAATAGACAACTATACATAAGTGGCAGTTGTATTTTACAAACCTAATTTGATTACCAATTTGGCCCTTCAAAAGGAAGTGAATGATTCATTTAAAAGTTGAACACAGAACATTTGAAGGTTTTTTTAATTATGTTATGTTAATCACCATACATTACATCATTAGTTTTTGATGTAGTGTTCCATGATTCATTATTAGTGTATAACACGCAGTGCTTCCATGCAGAACGTGCCCTCTTTAATACCCATCACCAGGCTAACCTATCCTCCCACCCCCCTCCCCTCTAGAACCCTCAGTTTGTTTTTCAGAGTCCATCATCTCTCATGGTTCATCTCCCCCTCCGATTTCTCCCCCTTCATTCTTCCCCTCCTGCTATCTTCTTCTTCTTCTTCTTTTTTTAACATATAATGCATTATTTGTTTCAGAGGTACAGGTCTGTGATTCAACAGTCTTATACAATTCACAGCGTTCACCATAGCACATACCCTCCCCAATGTCTATCACCCAGCCACCCCATCCCTCCCACTCCCCACTACTCCAGCAACCCTCAGTTTGTTTCCTGAGATTAAGAATTCTTCATATCAGTGAGGTCATATGATACATGTCTTTCTCTGATTGACTTACTTCGCTCAGCATAACACCCTCCAGTTCCATCCACGTCATTGCAAATGGCAAGATTTCATTCCTTTTGATGGCTGTGTAATATTCCATTGTATATATATATACCACAGCTTCTTTATCCATTCATCTGTCAATGGACATCTTGGCTCTTTCCACAGTTTGGCTATTGTGGGCATTGCTGCTATAAACATCGGGGTGCTACCCCTTCGGATCCCTACCTTTGTATCTTTGGGGTAAATACCCAGTAGAGCAATTGCTGGATCCTAGGGTAGCTCTATTTTCAACTTCTTGAAGAACCTCCATACTGTTTTCCAGACTGGCTGCCCCAGCTTGCATTCCCACCAACAGTGTAGAAGGGTTCCCCTTTCTCCGCAACCCCACCAACATCTGTCGTTTCCTGACTTGTTAATTTTAGCCATTCTGACTGCTGTGAGGTGATATCTCATTGAGGTTTTGATTTGGATTTCCCTGATGCCGAGCAATGTTGAGCACTTTTTCATGTGTCTGTTGGCTGTTTGGATGTCTTCTTTGGAAAAAGGTCTATTCATGTCTTCTGCCCATTTCTTGATTGGATCATTTGTTCTTTGGGTGTTGAGTTTAAGAAGTTCTCTATAGATTTTGGACACTAGCCCTTTATCTTATATGTCATTTGCAAATATCTTCTCCCATTCTGTCGGTTGTCTTTTGGTTTTGTTGACTGTTTCTTTTGCTGTGCAGAAGCTTTTTATCTTGATGAGGTCCCAATAGTTCATTTTTGCCCTTGCTTCCCTTGCCTTTGGCGATGTTTCTAGGAAGAAGTTGCTTCGGCTGAGGTCAAAGAGGTTGCTGCCTGTGTTCTCCTTTAGGATTTTGATGGACTCCTGTCTCACATTGAGGTCTTTCAACCATTTGGAGTCTATTTTTGTGTGTGGTGTAAGGAAATGGTCCAGTTTCATTCTTCTGCATGTGGCTGTCCAATTTTCCCAACACCATTTGTTGAAGAGACTGTCTTTGTTCCACTGGACACTCTTTCCTGCTTTGTCAAAGATGAGTTGACCATAGAGTTGAGGGTCCATTTCTGGGCTCTCTATTCTGTTGCATTGATCTATGTGTCTGTTTTTGTGCCAGTACTATGCTGTCTTGATGATGACAGCTTTGTAATAGAGCTTGAAGTCCGGAATTGTGATGCCGCCAGCTTTGCTTTTCTTTTTCAACATTCCTCTGGCTATGCGGGGTCTTTTCTGGTTCCATACAAATTTTAGGATTATTTGTTCCATTTCTTTGAAAAAAGTGGATGGTATTTTGATGGGGATTGCATTGAATGTGTAGATGGCTCTAGGTAGCATTGACATCTTCACAATATTTGTTCTTCCAATCCATGAGCATGGAACGTTTTTCCATTTCTTTGTGTCTTCCTCAATTTCTTTCATGAGTATTTTATAGTTTTCTGAGTACAGATTCTTTGCCTCTTTGGTTAGATTTATTCCTAGGTATCTTATGGTTTTGGGTGCAATTGCAAATGGAATCAACTCCTTAATTTCTCTTTCTTCTGTCTTGTTGTTGGTGTATAGGAATGCCACTGATTTCTGTGCATTGATTTTATATCATGCCACTTTACTGAACTCCTATATGAGTTCTAGCAGTTTTGGGGTGGAGTCTTTGGGGTTTTCCACATAAAGTATCATATCATTTGCAAAGAGTTAGAGTTTGACTTCCTCTTTGCCGATTTGGATGCCTTTTATTTCTTTTTGTTGTCTGATTGCTGTGGCTAGGACTTCCAATACTATGTTGAATAGCAGTGGTGATAGTGGACATCCCTGCCGTGTTCCTGACCTTAGGGGGAAAGCTCTCAGTTTTTCCCCATTGAGGATAATATTTGCTGTGGGTTTTTCATAGATGACTTTTATGATATTGAGGTATGTACCTTCTATCCCTATATTCTGAAGAGTTTTGATCCAAGAAAGGATGCTGTACTTTGTCAAATGCTTTTCTGCATCTATTGAGAGGATCATATGGTTCTTGTTCTTTCTTTTATTAATGTATTGTATCACATTGATTGATTTGCGGATGTTGAACCAACCTTGCAGCCCAGGAATAAATCCCACTTGGCCGTGGTAAATAATACTTTTAATATACTGTTGGATCCTATTGGCTAGTCTTTCGGTGAGAATTTTTGCATCCATGTTCATAAAGGATATTGGTCTGTAATTCTCCTTTTTGATGGGGTCTTTGGTTTGGGGATCAAGGTAATGGTGGCCTCATAAAACGAGTTTGGAAGTTTTCCTTCCATTTCTATTTTTTGGAAGAGTTTCAGAAGAATACATATTAATTCTTCTTTAAATGTTTGGTAGAATTCCCCTGGGAAGCCATCTGGCTCTGGGCTTTTGTTTGTTGGGAGATTTTTGATGACTGCTTCAATTTCTTTAGTGGTTATCGATCTGTTCAGGTCTTCTATTTCTTCCTGGTTCAGTTTTGGTAGTTGATACATCTCTAGGACTGCATCCATTTCTTCCAGATTATCTAATTTGCTGGCATATAGTTGCTCATAATATGTTCTTATCTTTGTTTGTATTTCTTTGGTGTTGGTTATGATCTCTCCTCTTCCATTCATCATTTTGTTGATTTGGGTCATTTCTCTTTTCTTTTTGATAAGTCTGGCCAGGGGTTTATCAATCTTGTTAATTATTTCGAAGAACAAGCTCCTAGTTTCGTTGATCTGTTCTACTGTTCTTTCGGTTTCTATCTCATTGATTTCTGCTCTGATCTTTTTTATTTCTCTTCTCCTGCTGGGTTAAGGCTTTATTTGCTGTTCTTTCTCCAGCATCTTTAGGTGTAGGGTTAGGTTGTGTATTTGCCACCTTTCTTGTTTCTTGAGAAAGGCTTGTATTGCTATATACTTGCCTCTTAGGACTGCCTTTGCTATATCCCCAAGATTTTGTGTTTTTTTTTTCATTGGTTTCCATGAATTTTTTAAATTCTTCTTTAATTTCCTGGTTGACCCATTCATTCTTTGGTAGGATGCTCTTTAGCCTCCATGTATTTGAGTTCTTTCTGACTTTCCTCTTGTGATTGAGTTCTAGTTCCAAAGCATTGTGGTCTGGAAATAAGCAGGGAATGATCCCAATCTTTTAGTACCAGTTGAGACCTGATTTGTGACCTAGGATGTGATCTATTCTGGAGAATGTTCCATGGGCACTAGAGAAGAATGTGTATTCTGTTGCTTTGGGATGGAATGTTCTGAATATGTCTGTGAAGTCCATTTGATCCAGTGTGTCATTTAAAATCTTTATTTCCTTGTTGATCTTTTGCTTAGATGATCTGTCCATTTCAGTGAGGGGGGTGTTAAGTTCCCCACTATTATTGTATTGTTGTTGATGTGTTTCTTTGCTTTTGTTATTAATTGGCTTATATAATTGGCCGCTCCCATGTTAGGGGCATAGATATTTACAATTGTTAGATCTTCTTGTTGGATAGACCCTTTAAGTAGGATATAGTGTCCTTCCTCATCTGTTATTACACTCTTTGGTTTAAAATCTAATTTGTCTGACATAAGGATTGCCACCCCAGCTTTCTTTTGGTGTCCATTAGCATGGTAAATCATTTTCCACCCCTTCACTTTCAATCTGGGGGTGTCTTTGGTCCTAAAATGAGTCTCTTGCAGACAGCATATCGACGGGTTTTGTTTTTTCATCCAATCTGATACCCTGTGTCTTTTGATTGGGGCATTTAGCCCATTTACATTCAGGGTAACTATTGAAAGATATGAATTTAGTGCCATTGTATTACCTGTAAGGTGACTGTTACTGTATATTGTCTGTGTTTCTTTCTGTTCTATGTTACCTTTAGGCTCTCTCTTTGCTTTCAATATTTCTTGTAGGGCTGGTTTTGTGTTTGCAAGTTCCTTCAGATTTGTTTGTCCTGGAAGCTTTTCATCTCTCCTTCTATTTTCAATGACAGCCTAGCTGGATATAGTATTCTTGG